GCCCTGGCATGAGGGCGGAGGCCGTGCACGAGGGAACCGAGGGACGTGGGCGCCGCGCGGGCAGGGGCGGGAGCGGGGCGGGGGTGAGACCTCTAGGGGGAGCGGGCCGTTAGGGACCTGGGACGGATGGGATTTCGGTGGGAACCATGTGTGCGACTTGCTTTTCTCATCAGTTCCTAATACTGAACACTAATGCATGTGATTTTTTTTTTTAAAAAAAAATAGTAGCTTTCGCTTTTAACTTTTAAGCACACGAACTCTCTACATGACCTTTTCATCTTTACACTGTGGATTTATATGTGCAATTCATGTACAGCGGCCTCCCGTTGTTATAAACAAGCCAAGAAGTCTGTTTCTCATTCTTCACAGGGTACGCCCTGCGTTTTTTCAGCTTAGTCTCCATCTTAACCATGTCTGGTCACAAGTAATTTCTTCAGACTTTTTTCCTTCAGAAATTAAGACCATTCCTACATCTTGAATTGTTGAACGACTGTCCAGTTGGTTATGCCTGCGGCATCGCTCCCTATCAGATAGAAGCAGCAGTCTCTATCTGGTTTCTCTACAATTTTCCTACGCCCTTCTAAGCTAGCATTTAGAAATACTGTTTCTGGGTTTTTAGGAAGATTGTAGATTTTCACTCCGAGGGGAGTAAGATGATTCTCCAACTTCCATCTCCATGCTCCTGAACAAGCATCCTGACATCAGTAAATATTGGTACATCTACAGCAAGAGCTGTGCTCTGTGTTTGGGGCTACAAGGATGAAACAGAAAGACCGTGGTCCAGGGATACCGTTTTACCATTTTAGTGGAATTATTTTAAACCAATTCATATTTCAACTAGAATAGAGTCGGCATATCGTTTAGTAACATGTTATCCCTCAATACTATGCTCCATCAAATTCTTGTAAACACATCATCCCAATGTGGTATCTAATGTAAAACTGGCTAATTTCAAGAGACTTGGAGATATTTTTATAACCACCTTTCTTAAAAAATATATTTTATTGATTTTTTACAGAGAGGAAGGGAGAGGGATAGAGAGTTAGAAACATGGATGGGAGAGAAACATCGACCAGCTGCCTCCTGCACACCCCCCACTGGGTATGTGCCCACAACCAAGGTACATGCCCTTGACCGGAATTGACCCCGGGCCCTCTCAGTCCGTAGGCCGCCGCTCTATTCACTGAGCCAAACCGGTTAGGACTATAACGTCTTTTAAGTGCATATTCTCCACTGTTCACGCACATACTTAAACCTATACTTGATATTCATCAGTTTATTGATCATAAGATATCAAGGAGATATTTATATGTTGGATATTTGGAACATTTTCTAAAGAAATCACAAGAGCCCTGATCGCTTTGGCTCAGTGGATAGAGCGTCAGCCTGCAGACTCAAGGGTCCCAGGTTCAGTTCCCGTCAAGGGCATGTACCTTGTTTGCAGGCACATCCCCAGTGGGGGGTGTGTAGGAGGGAGCTGATCGATGCTTCTCTCTCATCAATGTTTCTAACTCTATATCCCTCTCCCTTCCTCTCTGTAAAAAATCAATAAAGTATATTTATAAAAAAAAAAAGAAATCACAAGAGTGCTGAATCAAGTGATTATTCTGTTTAATTAAAGTAGCCTTTCCCCATCAGCCTTTATCATTTAGGACATTTCTCTAGGAGTGGCAGAGAAAAAAATACCATAGAATAGTATTAGAAAAATTGCTTTATCAGAAGGTTCAAAGAGTCAGAGAACAACAAAAAGAAAATGAGGAATCACGCAAGGACCACAAGACAGTAAAGGAAGCATTAAAGTCCCCATGTTACATGATTTTAAATTGAAGTTAAATAATTTTGATGATATTTCAATAGTATTTTGGTGTCCATTTACCAATTTAGTCTTATATTTGAGAGAAAGGTAATTCTATTGTGGATTATCCTCACAACAACCCTCTGACATACATGCTGTGACTAATCTGCCACTATGATATAGAAACTGAATCTTTAGTAAAGTTTAATCCCTTGTCTAAAACCAGCTAGGATTTTAACCGCGATGGTCTAACTCCACAGCCCATACATATAACCACTGTATATCCGATATTGTGTAGGAGTGCTGCTCAGCCTTCCAAGAATGGGTGACAAATATTGCGAGATAGCTGTGCCTAATATGGCTGGAGTCCCCCATTGTGCTAGGAGCATCTTTGCTCAGTTACCAAAGTGTGCTTGCTGTATAAATGTGCTTTTCTGTGGGCTCTGATACAGCACTCACAGTATAATATTACAGTCTAGGCATGTAAATCTTACAAGTACTCTATGTTTTTATCAATCTTTAAATTTTTTTGTTATGAAGTAGGGTATAAAATACAATATTTCATTTTTTCCATCATTAGTAGTACTATTGAAAACAATGACTAATATAAAGATCATTTTGTAATTTTAGACCCTTATGTGAGGAAAATTGTTTTGACTAACCAGCTATTTTCTTTATAGTTTCTTGCAGAACATAAGTTATTAGGAAACATTAAAAATGTGGCCAAGACAGCTAATAAGGACCATTTGGTTACAGCCTATAACCATCTTTTTGAAAGTAAGGTGAGTGTTACTGTTTTTTACTAGGGACCCGGTGCACGAAATTCATGCACGGGGGCGGGGGTCCCTCAGCCTGACCTGCACCCTCACCAATCTGGGAGCCCTCAGGGGATGTCCTACTGACAGTTTAGGCCTGCTCCCCATGGTTCTCTGCTTTCTGCAGACCTGCCTGCTTGATGCCACTGCAGGCCCTGGTGTCTGCTCTCTGTGGGGGCCCTGCGGGGGATTGCTTGCCCCTTGCTGCCATGGCCAGGGGCAAGCAGGGCCCTGCTGTCTGCTCGCTCACTGTGGGGGACTGTTGTCGGCTCGCTCACTGCAGGGGACGTTCCTGCCCCACCTCCGGCTGCTTGGCGCCTGCGCACGTAGGCCCAGAGTGGCTGGGGGCATTCTGGGACCCCGGTGGCTATAGGCCTACAGGCT